GGGGTTGTGCCCGCAACTGGAAAATGTGAATGTGGACCCACCCACATTGTGAAATGCCTGGGAAGAAAAGCCTGCGCCGGGAGCAATAAAAAGGCGAGAGGGCGTGCAGGAGGGATGAGTCCTGCCAGGAGCACGGCCGGCTGTCCACCTGCTGCAGAGATGGTGCACGCAACCTCCTCCCTGCTGCTGCTGCTGCTCAGCCTGGCTCTGCTGGCTCCCGGCCACTCTGCCAGAAAGGTAACGGGATGGGGCTGGGAGTGGGTGCTCCTAGGAGCCCATCCCTGCCTCCTGCCCGGCACTGAATCCCTGTGCTTCATTCCAGTGCATGCTGACTGGGAAATGGACGAACGACCTGGGCTCCAACATGACCATCGGGGCTGTGAATGACAGGGGCGAGTTCAGCGGCAGCTACCTCACAGCTGTGGCAGACGCACCAAATAACATCACATGGTCACCGCTGCTTGGGATCCAAAACAACACTGTCCGCCAGCCCACCTTTGGCTTCACAGTCCGTTGGAATTTTTCAGGTGCTTCTTTCCCAGCCTCCCTTTGCTCTCCCACCCTTCCCCACGATGTCGCCAGTGCTCTCCTGCACTTTCCTACAGTGTCCCTGATGATCTCTCCCCCTCTGTGGTGTCCCTGATGATTTCCTATCCATCCCTGCAGTCCCCACAATGATGCCCTGCCTCCTATGCCCCACGTGCGGCCCCATCCCTTCCCCCGGAGCTGCTGGGCTGCTGTCGCCTCCTGGTCCCCGGGTACAGGGGAGGTGCTGGGGCTGTTCCCAGAGGGCAGGGGGAGCTCAGATGAGTTGTCTCCAGGCCAGAAGATCGTGGCTCTGGCACTGCCCTGCCCTGTGTGGGGCTCATGACCCCACTCCCCTCATCTGCCCCTTTCCCACAGAGTCCACCAGTGTCTTTGTGGGTCAGTGCTTCATAGACAGGGGTGGGAAGGAGGTCCTGAAGACCAAGTGGCTGCAACGGTTAAGTGTTGATGACATTGACGATGACTGGAAAGCCACCAGGTGAGCCCAGGGCAGAGGCACACGGACCTTCGCAGAGAATAGTGGCTGTGCGCTTCCCACCTTACATCTCCTCTCTCTCTCCACAGGGTTGGCAACAACGACTTCACTCGCATGCACACAGTGCAGAATGAGGATGACCTCGCCAGTCCCACATCAGCAACAACGCTGGAGTGCTGACACTGCTTGTGACATTGCTCCCAATAAAGCTTTACTTCAGACACTGGCTCGTACCACGTCCCTTCGGGCTGCACTTCTGGTTCCCGTAGCCCCCCGTCGCATCCCAGTTCCTCTCCCCTACCTGTCCCCTCTGCCTGTCCCACACCCCATGGCGTGGCAGTGCCAGCAATGACACTTGTGTCACCACGTCCCCTGTGCCACCACAGCCACTGCTCAGTGCTTTTCAGGCTGCACACATTGGGGAAGTAGGTTGGGAAGGAAGTCCAAAGGGAAGAAAAGATGGGCTGTATTGCGTATCAAGTGCAGGAGTGGGGGTGGGCTCCGATCCCCACAGCATGCAAGGAAAGCTGTCAGGGACAGCTCTGCCAGGAGCTTGCAGAAATAGCACGCTCCTCCTGCTCCTCCGCCACATGCCACCCATGCTATCTGCCACCCCTGGTGCTGGCCCAGCTCTACCCCACATCCCTTGGAGTGATCCAAAAGCAAAGCGGGTGGTGCTGCCAGCAGTGCTGAGAGCAGACAGCACGGTTGCTCTGGGGCCAGGAGCATGGGGCTCTGCTCAAAAAGCACTGGACCTGGTGCTGCTGGCACGGGGTGTTGGCCACACCAGCCTGCACAACCCTTCAGCAAGCTTGCAGAAGACGCCAAACTGAGCGGTGCTGTTGACATGCTAGAGGGAAGGGATGCTATCCAGATGGAGCTGGACTTTCAAGCTGGAGACTTGAAAGATGGGGTGCCACGCCAACCTCATGAAGTTCAACAAGGCCAAGTGCAAGTTCTGGCATCTGGGTCGGGGCTCAGATATGGGTTGGGCAGAGAATGGCTTGAGAGCAACCCTGAGGAGAAGGATTTGGGCTCGTTGGTTGATGAAAGACTCAACAAGCAATTTGCGTTTGCTGCCCAGAAGGCCAACTGTATCCTGGGTTGCATCAAGAGAAGGTTCTGCACCCCTGCTCTTCTCTCACGAGACCCCTCCTGGAGTACTGCTTCCAGTTCAGGGAAGCCCAACTCTGGGAGGACATGAAGCTGTTGGAGTGGGTTCAGAGGAGGGATCTGAAGATGATTAGAGGGCTCAAACACCTCCCCTGCAAGGACAGCTGAGAGAGTTGTGACTCCAGCCAAGAAAAGAGAAGGCTCGAGGGGGACCTTATAGTGACCTTCCAGAAACTGAAGAGGCCTACAGGGAAGCAGGGAAGGACTTTTATAAGGGCATGTAGCAACAGGGCAAGGAGAAATGCTTTTAAACTGGAAGAGGGTAGATTTAGGCTAGATATCAGGAAGAAAGTCTTTACTGCGAGGGTGGTGAGAGGCTGGAACAGGTCGTGCAGCAAGGTTGTGGATGCCCCCTCCCTGGAGGTGTTCAAGGCCAGGCTGGATGAGGCTGTGTGCAACCTGGTCTAGCGGAAAATGTCCCTGCCTATGTCAGGGGGTTGGAAGTAGGTGATCTTAAAGGTGCCTTCCAACCCAAGCCATTCCATGATTCTATGATTCTGTGTGAGAAGAGACTGTAGTGGAGAGGCTGGGGCATTTTGAAGACCACAGCAGATTTGGAACTGCACTGGGGGGTTTCAACTCAAAAACTGACTGCTTCCTTACCAGACTTACATAAAATCACTTGCGTCAATGAACATCACAGTTGTCCTGGGGCTCTACAATCCCCATCACTGTGAATTTTCACACTTTCCTTCCATAACATTGGACCAGGGAGGCTGATGTAACTTGGTTTGCACTGCATTTTCTCATATGTTCAATGTAGTTCCCCAAAACAAGTGTGTTTTATTTCTGCGGCCATCAGCCTATGGCCTCATGGCGACCCGTGTCCCAGGAAGCACTCCCTTTCTTGTGAGGGAGAAAAGGCAGCGGTGGTCTGTCTTTCCCTTCAGCCTCACTTCTGAGCTCCGATCACAAAACTGATCCCGACTTGTAGCAGTCTAAGCTGCTACACAGACTGGGGCATTTTGGAGGCCACAGCAGTACCACAGTGGGGGGGCTTTCAACTCAAACAAGTGACCGTGCCTTCTTAGCAGACTTACGTAAGATCTCTCCTGCCACGAGGAAATATCCCTCCGTTCACAGTCACGCCTCATTCCCATCTTTGCTTTTTGGCTCCCCCACTTTTGAGAAAACCACTTTCAGAGATGAAGCACCGGAAGAGTAAAATTGCTGTCAAGCCATTGATAAGGCAAATGGCAACCCCAGCAGTGAGGGACAAGCCACATTATCTAGCAATTAGCATCACACAGCTCAAAGCATTGCCTGTTCTCACCCAACATCAAGTCCCCTTGAGGCACACACAGGATGTCCCCACCCTTCCTCATCACCCACCACGTGCACTCAGTGCCTTGAGCAAAAGCAGCCCCACCGGTGGCAGGAATAACCCAGGCTGTCCTGCCCAGCATGTTTTTCTGGTGCACTGCAGGAACTTCGTCTTCTTCTACAATCCACAGCATGTTTGACTGGGCAGGACCAGCTCAGCTGCCAGATGGATCCATGAGCATTGACTGAACAGGTGGGTTTTGGGAAACTCCTGGAGAGGGACACTGCAGGGATGCTGCATGAATACCCCCAGCCTTCCGCAGGCTGTGATGGGGACAGAGCTGAAGCAATGACTGCTCTTTGGGAACGTGGGCATTGTTGACCACAGACATGATATGTGAGTGGTGAGTGGGGTCAGGAGTGCAGGACAGGAGTGTGGACTCGGTGGGGGGGCAGAGGAGGTGGCTCAGAGCATGAGATATATTCGCCAGGCCATTGGAATTCTGAATATCACCAGAGAATGACGCTCCACATCCTCTCTGGGCTGCCTGTTCCAGTGCTATGTCGCCCTTGAAGTAAAGAAGGATTTGCTCATGTTCTGATGGAACTTTCTGTGTTCCAGTTTGCGACCGCTGAACCTTGATCTGTCACTGGACAATGCTGAAAAAGCCTGGCCCTATCCACTTGACTCCCACCCTTTACATATTTGTAAGCACTGATAAGATTCCCCTCAGCCTTCTCCAGACTACACAGCCCCAGGTCTCCCAGCCACGCCTCCTACGGGAGATGCTTCAGGCCCCTCATTATCTCTAAGGCCCTCTGCTGGACTCTCTGCAGTAGTTCTCAGTCTTTCTTGAACTGGGCAGCCCTGAACTTGACACGGTGTTCCAGACGTGGCCTCACCAGGGCAGAGGAGAGAGGAAGGATCACCTCCCTCGACCTGCTGGCCATGTTCTCTTCAGCACACCTCAGGATACCATTGGCTTTCTCGCTCCGAGGGCACACTGCCAGCTTACGGCCCACGGCTCGGCCTCCAGCACCCGCGGGTCATTCTCTGTAGAGTTCCTCTCAAGCAGGACAGCCCCAACCTGCGTGCAGTTACGCACATCAGTGCATAACTGATGTCTGCAGTTATTCCCCACCCACTGCAAGACTCTACTCTTGCCGTTGTTAAATATCATAAGCTTCCTCTCCACCCGACTCTCCAGGGTGCGCAGGTCTTGCTGAATGGCAGCACAGCCTTCTGGTATGCCAGCTGCTTCTCCCACCTTCATATCGTCAGCAGGCTTGCTGAGGGCACGTACTATCCAGTCATCCAGGTCACTGGAGAAGGTGCTGAACGAGGCACAGAACCGACCGCTGAGGAACTCCTCCAGTGACATCCCTCTCATTAGACAGCTCTGCCAGTCCACACGGTTCTCAATGGCCCTCACCATCCTCTCACCTGTCCCACACCTCCTCAACTTGCCCACAGCGATGTTGTGGGGACAGTGTGAAAAGCCTTGCTGAAGTCGAGGCACACAACATCCACTGCTCCCCCCTCAACTCCCGCGACATCCTAGCTGATGACATCCTAGAAGGCAATTAGATGGGTCAAACGTGATTTCTCCCTGGGTGAATTCATGGAGACTATTCCCGATAACCTTCTTCTCTTCCAATTGCTAAGAGATGGCATTCAGAACAAGTTGTTCTGCTACCTTCGAGGCACAGAGGTGAGGCTGACTGGCCTGTCGTTTCCCAGCTTCACCTTCCTGCCCTTTTGGAAGACTGGAGTGGCACTGGCGTTCTGGAGGAAACGGTCCTCAGGCACCTCTCCTGTTCTCCATGACCTTTGAAAGATGATCAAGAGCACCTTGACAGTCACTTCTGCCAGCTCCTTCAGCACTCATGTATGCATCTCATTGGTGCCCATGGATTTGTGTTAACTGAGTTAGCCTAGACAACCTCTGATCAGATCCTTCTCGACCGAGGGGAAGTCGTCCTTTCCCCATGCTCTCGTCTCCAGGCTCTGGGATTCCCAAGGGGCAGTCTTAGCAGGAAAGAATGAAGTAAAGAAGTTGTGCAGTAACTCCGCTTTCTTGGTGTCCTCCATTACTAGGTCACCCACCTCATTGAGCAGCAGACGCACGTTCTCCCAGTCTTCCTTTTGCTACTGACATACTAAAGAAGCCCTTCTTGTTGTCCTTGACTGGGAGGTCACCCAATTTGATTCCCAGTGGGCCTCAGCCTTCTCTGTGGCATCCCTGCATGTCCTGACAACATTCCTATGTTCTTCCCAGATGGCCAGAGCCCTTTCCCACATTCCAGAGGCTTTGCTCTTCCATCAGTGTCTTTCCAAGAGCTTCTTGCTCACTTCTGCAGGCCTCATGCCACCTTTGCCTGATTTCTTAGTCTTAGAGATGCACCGATCCCGAATTTGGAAGAAGTTGCTTGAATGGCAACCAGCTCTCTTGGTTGCTCTTGCTTGCCAGCGCTCTAAGCCATGGGAGGCCTCCAAGCATGTCCTTGAAGAGGTCAAAGTTGGCTCTCCTGAAGTCCTGACTGCAGTCCCACAAACTGCCTGATTTCTCCCATGCGAGATCCTGAACTCCACCATCTCACAGTCACTGCACCCAAGGCTTCCCCCAGCCTTCACATCCCCAGTCAGTCCTTCCTGGACTGGCTGGGGAGGAACTGGTGTTTGCAGGAGAAAGATCCAGCAGCACACCTCTCCTCATTGCCTTGTCCACATCTTCGCCAGAAAGTTATCTTCCACGCACTGCAGGAACCTCCTGGGCTGTGTGTGCCTGGCAGCATTGCTTTTTGAGCATATATCAGAGTGGTTGAAGTCCTTCGTGAGAACCAGCTCCTGTAATAGCGAGGCTGCTTGCAGCTGTCTGTGCAAGGCCTCTTCAGCTTCCTCCTCATGATCAGTCAGCCTGTAGTAGACACCCACAACAGCGTCACTCATCACAGCCTGCCCCTTAGTTCTCACCCATAAACTTTCCACTCATACATCATGCATCCCTTGGGATGCCCTCCCATTCTCGTGCCATGAATAAACTGGTGAGGGGCACAACTCAACTCCCTGCCACGTCCCACCTGCACCT